CCAATTCAAGCCCAAATCATATTTCAGCTTCTCAGCGCGCCCAATACAAGCCCAAAAGTTTATTCCAGGCCTAAAACGCGCCCAATTCAAGCCCAAAAATATTTTCTAGGCCTAAAACGCGCCCAATTCAAGCCCAAAAATATTTTACAGGCCTAAAACGCGCCCAATTCAAGCCCAAAAATATTTTGCAGGCCTAAAACGCGCCCAATACAAGCCCAAAAATTTATTCCAGGCCTAAAACGCGCCCAATTCAAGCCCAAAAATATTTTGCAGGCCTAAAACGCGCCCAATTCAAGCCCAAAAATATTTTCGAGGCCTAAAACGCGCCCAATTCAAGCCCAAAAATATTTTCGAGGCCTAAAACGCGCCCAATTCAAGCCCAAAAATTTATTCTAGGCCTAAAACGCGCCCAATTCAAGCCCAAAAATATTTTCTAGGCCTAAAACGCGCCCAATTCAAGCCCAAAAATATTTTACAGGCCTAAAACGCGCCCAATTGAAGCCCAAAAATTTATTCCAGGCCTAAAACGCGCCCAATTCAAGCCCAAAAATTTATTCCAGGCCTAAAACACGCCTAATTCAAGCCCAAAAATATTTTCGAAATTTAGATTTTATTGAAGAATATAAATGCACGCGAATATTTTATAAATTATTAAAAGATTTTCATTTTTGCAATTGAATAATCAGCATTGGTGCGTCTACACGTTTGTTATAAAAATTATTGGGTAAGAATCTACTGTTATACATATATAAATACTTGCATTTGAAATACAAATCGTTTTTATTAAATTAACCTTTATACAATGAATTTACAGTTGAAAAAATGTGTTGTTCTCATTTTCTTCATTACAATTATTCTGTTGCATAGGAAAATCATAATTTGGGTGAGGAAAGTATGGATTATTGTAATTATAATTTTTATTGTAGTAATGATCGTGATTGTAATGCTGAATGTATTCAGAAGATTGTTGATGGTACAAATAAGGATGAGCTGCAAGATGAGGTCCTACTGGTGGTGTGGTAGTCAGATTCTGAGATGATTGATTCGTTAATGGAGCTTTCGTAGTTGTTGATGATGGTGGTGTTGAATTTTTTGTTTTTGCTGCTGATAATGACGGTGATGCTGAACTATCTACTGATATATCTGATGCTAATGATGAACTAGCAGTTGGGTTAGGTATTTCTTCTGATGAGTTTGATAATTTTTTGGCAACTGAAAATATTAATTGTATAATAAGAGTAAGTATTAATATTAATGTTATAATATTGAATTATCTCATTGATGCAGATAACTTGACAATATTTTGTTTTACCTTTTTTCTTTTTTGGTCTTGGACTGTTCGAATCATTGCTTATTTCTTCTTTGTCGGAATTTTCTTTTTCTTCTGATGCTTTTTTACTGCGTAAATATTGAATTCTATGATTAACTGTTTTATTATAATATTTTGTGTCAATCACTATGTTGAAACGATTTTTCATATAACCTGTAATAGTATAAATAAAATCGTACATTTCTATAATTCTTTATGGAAAATTTTTGTTCTATTATTAACAATAAGGTAGATTACCGATCACGGCTGTGCGAATTTTAGGAAATTGATCAGTTAATTTTTCAGCAGAACCGCTCTTCGCTAATTCTTCTTCTCCTCCAGTCAGCTCTGTCACTAAAAGCCTAATAAAGGCATTTTTTTTATTATTGGCCGCATTCACCAGTGATTCTAGAATGCTCTCTTCAATAAAAATATTTGTTTTTGGATATAATTCAATCTGGAATGTAGAAAATGTTATTATTCTATTTATAAAACCTATTTCTTCAATCAAAAATTTATTAAACTTCGTTACCTTAGGATTGCTTGGTTGGGCGTCAGGATATTTTTTGTTACATGCTTTTATAAAAGCTTCATTCTGCAATCTACATACTTCCAGGAATTCTGGGGTAACTAAAAAATTAAAAATAATGATGAGAACGAGTGACTTCATTCATAAATTAATATGCCTGAAGAACTACGATCATTTACGTAATACATATTATTATATTATGCATTAATAGAAGAGATTTATGAATGTTAAAAAACGATTTTTTAATTATTTAAATCAATGTTTTTTAACTTTTAATAAATATTTTATAAGAATGAAAAAGCCTTAGTTATAAACACATTGGTAGTTTTATAATAAATAAATTTTATTTTATCGTAAAAAAATATTTTTTAACAGTTAAAAATATTTTTTAACAATTAATTAACCAACTTCAGTAACGCCACCTAACTTTACATTAACCAGAACAATCATGTTTATCAATTCACCGTTTAAACTCTCACTTCTTGCCTTATGCATATCTTTTATTAATATAAATATGCATGAAATTAAACTAAATCCTAATCTCATTCGAATTTTATATCATTTTATATGAAAGAACCATGTAATCCACAATAAAATATGAATTATATTCGTTACATCATATTTTTTAATAATTAAGAAGATTTATTAACTGTTAAAAAATATTTGTTGTGCTGTAGCAAAGCTATGTTAAATAGTTAAGATATAATTTTATGACTGTCACAAAATATTTTTTCACGGTTAAGAAGCCTCTTTTATTATTACAAATCTCTTCTATCAGTGTGTACACTTACTTTTGGATCTCCATTCTCTGCAGACGCAATTTTTGCAATTTTCACAAGAATCCAAAGTATCCATATTCGTTTTTTCTGAAGGTTCACTTGTTATGTTTGACAAACTCTGAATAAGTTCATTAGCATCTGAGGTGTTTTTATTTTGCGTCACAACTTTGCGCTTTTTTGCCTGCTGAATTTTCCTACGTTCAGCCATGATTTGTATCTTCAGTTCTTTCTTCTGAATTTTTCCTTTTTGATTAACGATAAGACTTTCAAGATAATCTTTGTTTTCTACAAAATATAATAAAATATTTCATTCCTATTTGATAATAGAAAATGTATTATTAATAAACGTAGTTTTCGACATACACTATATTTTAATAATTTCAATTATAATTTTTCGTTCTTAAAATTCAAATATTCACTGAACTATTTCACTTCAACTGTATGTACTTCACTCAATGCTAGCATCAAACTGAATTAACGAACAAAAAATCTATGCTGTCCAGAGTAGCAGAAATAAAAGAAAATACTTATTTTTTAAGGAAGGGATGGTGGATTTGTCTGAAAAGAAATGATGGAAAATCCAAAAACCGCCATAAACGTACTTAGGGAATAACAGCATATGTTTTGTATTTACAGAGAAGATTAAAAAATATATTGTTTGTCGTACGTATTAAAAAGTATCATTACAACTGAAAAGTATATAAAGTGGATGTACATGCTACGATTGTATATTTCACACCTACGAACGAACAGTAGACTTGCTCAAACCACGTTTACAATTTCCGTAAACACGTGATTTAAGATAGTCTAATTGTCTTTCCCAGATCTGAATATTATTTTTCGTTATACCTGTGCAAAAAATTCAATCATTCTTAAATGAAAAAAATGAAGTTTTCGCGCGGGCCTGATGAAAAATATTATTCTCTTACCAATTACGCAAAGATATAAGTACGTGTTATGATTTATAATACAACTTATATTTTATTTAAATAAATCTTTCATGCGAATATAGTACAATAGACGTAATGTTTAATTTTTTTATACTTACTGCTGATTTGGAGGATTTTTGCATCATACAAAGTTGTTGATCCACCATCTATCCAAGGTAGTTCACCCTTCCATCCTACTTTAATAAATTGCGGTTCTAAAACTTTGGAAATATCACTAATATTCACAACAGAAACTTCACTACTTTCTACCCAAAATACTAACACCCATGATGATTTCTTTTGTTTCATGATCGTTGTAGTTTACGTTATAAGAAAATATAGAAATAGCGGATACACGTCATAATTGTTGGTGACAAACTTTTCGACAGATAATATAAAGATTTGGGTTCATTGAGGAACTGTATACAATAAAATACCGTAAAGGTTCGTCAACGTTCGGTATAGTTCGAGAGCAATAAAAATTCAGGTAAAAACTTATTATTTTCATGTATCACTATTAATGGTTACCAACAAAAGACTCAGTGAACGGAAATATTTCAAATATTACAGTATACTGGATATTTCAATTAATACAGTAAATAGTTTCGAGTGAAAACAATTTAATAACGGATTGCAATGTTTACATTGTGCAAATTAAACCGTGGAAATAAAGAATCTGAAGAAACGAACCTGGAAAATCAAAGCGATAATATGGAGGTTAGTGCATCAGGTAGTGCATATAGAGCTGAAGATAATAGTGAGGAAAATATCTCTGATTATGATGAGGAGGAGTTGGAACCACAACGCCAGATCGTAGAGGTAGACAATATGAGTTCAGAAGATGAAGAATTAGAGCAAATAAACCAGGAAAATCAAAGCGATAATATGGAAGTTAGTCAATCAGGTAGTGCATCTGGAGCTGAAGGTAATAGTGACGAAAATATCTCTGATTACGATGAAGAGGAGTTGGAACCACAACGCCAGATCGTAGAGGTAGACAATATGAGTTCAGAAGATGAAGAATTAGAGCAAATAAACCAGGAAAATCAAAGCGATAATATGGAGGTTAGTCAATCAGGTAGTGCATCTGGAGCTGAAGGTAATAGTGACGAAAATATCTCTGATTACGATGAAGAGGAGTTGGAACCACAACGTCAGATCGTAGAGGTAGACAATATGAGTTCAGAAGATGAAGAATTAGAGCAAATAAACCAGGAAAATCAAAGCGATAATATGGAGGTTAGTCAATCAGGTAGTGCATCTGGAGCTGAAGGTAATAGTGACGAAAATATCTCTGATTACGATGAAGAGGAGTTGGAACCACAACACCAGATCGTAGAGGTAGACAATATGAGTTCAGAAGATGAAGAATTAGAGCAAATAAACCAGGAAAATCAAAGCGATAATATGGAGGTTAGTCAATCAGGTAGTGCATCTGGAGCTGAAGGTAATAGTGACGAAAATATCTCTGATTATGATGAAGAGGAGTTGGAACCACAACGCCAGATCGTAGAGGTAGACAATATGAGTTCAGAAGATGAAGAATTAGAGCAAATAAACCAGGAAAATCAAAGCGATAATATGGAGGTTAGTCCATCAGGTAGTGTATATGAAGCAAATACTTCTTATTATGATGAGAAGTTGGAACTACAACACCAGGTAGTTGAGGGAGAGGATGGAGAATTGGACTATAGTACTCAGAGAAATCTGAATGATCATATTGAATGTAACGAATTTCGTCGAAATGAGGAAAGTCACAGTCAAGCTTTTGATGAAACAGATCACAGAGCAAACTCTGAAAACAATGAACGTCCTGTTGATGCATCAACTGATGAAGAATTAGATGATGATCCTCCTCTATATGAGAATGCTCCTATCACACTATCCGAAAGTATGTTGAGCATTTTTATGTACTCTATAAAACACAATTTAAGTGGTTGTGCTCTGTCTGATTTGTTGTCAGTAATAAGTGCACACATACCACCGAATTCTCATCATAAAAAAACTATCTATTTTTTCACAAAATATTTTAACAATGACAATATTACGATGAAAAAACACTATTATTGCCCAGATTGTACAAACCGTTTGACTTCAGAGAACGCGGTTTGTGAATGTATCGCTAATGTAAATGACAGGCACGAACCGTTATATTTTATTGAACTTTCGATCATTGATCAATTACAAGCCTTACTCCTTCGTGAAGGATTTCTTGACGATTTATCACATCCCCAACATCGTCAAAAAGAAAAAGATGGTAATATAGAAGATATCTACGATGGTTTGCTATATAAAGAGCACATGAAAGAAAATAATCCTGATTCTGAGGAATTTACAATTTCATTTATGTGGTATACTGACGGTTGTACCAATATTTAAATCCGCAAAATACAGTGTTTGGCCATTTTACCTAATTATTAATGAACTGCCATATCAAAAAAGAATTTCAAAGGAAAATATGATTTTAGCAGGCCTATGGTTTGGTTCTTCTGATCCTTTAGTAAATTACTTCTTATATCCATTATATAATCAACTAGCCCAATTAAGAACTGGAATTCATGTAGAAGTTCCTAAATCTAATCGATTTAAAACTATTAAAGCATTAATTCTTTGTGGAACTTGTGATGCAATCGCAAGATCTGATTTTTTGAATCACATTCGATTCAATGGAGATTATGGCTGTACAAGATGCTTTTCCAAAGGATATACAATTAGAGAGGAAGGTGTATTTGGAAATACTCACATCTATCCATTTGAAGGGGAATTTCTTAATCGAGATCTTGTATCTTATGAAACTTTTTCAATGATGGCAAGTACAAAAAAAAAACCTGTCGTTGGTGTAAATGGTCCATCCATTTTGAGTAAAATAATGCCAAATTTTATTCGAGGCACAGCAATAGATGTCATGCACTGTGTTTTTCTAGGTGTAGTGAAGTATCTGACAAAATTATTGTTAGATGTTTCTTATCGCTACAAACCTTGGAGTTTATACCATGTGCAAAATATCATAGATGAACGTCTGAAGCAGATAAAACCTCCAAATTTCATTAAACGAAAGCCTAGATCGTGGGTAAAACATTCCAGTTATTTTAAAGCTAGTGAATGGCGATCTTTTTTTTCTTCTATTCATTACCGCTCTTTGAAGATTTAATGGAAGAAAATTATTACAATCATTATTGTGAATTCGTCTATGGTATATATATATTAAATCAAAAATCAATAAGTAATGAATCTCTCAACATGAGCAGGCAACTTTTAACATCATTTGTTGCAAAATTTCAATCTCTATATGATTCACAATTTGCAACTTTCAACCTTCACACCCTCCAACATTTACCCGACGTCGTTCAAGATCTAGGCCCACTATGGGTAACGTCTTGTTTTCCTTTCGAAGATTTATTAGGTAAGATCAAAAATTTCGTTCATGGAACGCGATATATTGGACTACAAATATGTACAAAAATTATTAATTACTTATCAGTTGAAACAAAATTAAAGAAGTTACCAAGAGAAAGTCATGTAGCAAAATTGTGTAATAAACTGAGAACAGTAGGTAAACGCACGTGTATAGAACGGCGAATCGGCAACAATACTTACGTACTTGGGAGAATGTGGTTATTAGAAGAAACTGCAGAAAGCCGAAACCTTCGATCGATACTTACAAACGTTCATCAAAATATAAACTCTACTTGTAAGATATTTAAATTTTACCGTTTGAAAATTAATAATCAATATGTTTACTCCAAATTATATAATAGGAAAACATCATTTATTTCTTACTGTGTTAAGATTCATAGCAATGCACATTCAAAAGTAGGTTTTATTAAGTATTTTGTAAAGGTATGTCATTGTAGAGTAAGTAAATGTGAATTAAACTGTGCTCAAGCTAAATTTTATGCATGTTTTAATGAAGCAGTTGTAGACACGTCGTTTCATTTCAAAACTTCACTTCATGTGATGCAACCAAATATAAATGGACATGATTCAAGCTACAATGTTACAAATAAGACAATACCGTATTTATATAAATTTGTAGCGGTAAATTCTTCAGATATATTTGTTAATATCAATTCAATTGTAACCGTTTGTTTTGTTATAAACATTAACAGTAATATTTATATCGGAGAACCGAATAATATTAATGAATATTGTGAATAAAAGTATAATGCTTAAGAAAAAATTAATATCCAATAAAGAATTATGAAAATTACAAGATTTTGATTCTTGTTCATTTACTTCTTATCATATTACCAACAAACACTTTTGAAAAAAAATGTACAATCGATTATTGTTGTATAAAGGTTAATTTAATAAAAAGGATTTGTATTTAAAATGTAAGTATTTATATATGTATAACAGTAGATTCTTACCCAATAATTTTTATAACAAACGTGTAGACGCACCAATGCTGATTATTTAATTGCAAAAATGAAAATCTTTTAATAATTTATAAAATATTCGCGTGCATTTATATTCTTCAATAAAATCTAAATTTCGAAAATATTTTTGGGCTTGAATTAGGCGTGTTTTAGGCCTGGAATAAATTTTTGGGCTTGAATTGGGCGCGTTTTAGGCCTGGAATAAATTTTTGGGCTTGAATTGGGCGCGTTTTAGGCCTGTAAAATATTTTTGGGCTTGAATTGGGCGCGGTTTTTAGGCCTAGAAAATATTTTTGGGCTTGAATTGGGCGCGTTTTAGGCCTAGAATAAATTTTTGGGCTTGAATTGGGCGCGTTTTAGGCCTCGTAAATATTTTTGGGCTTGAATTGGGCGCGTTTTAGGCCTCGAAAATATTTTTGGGCTTGAATTGGGCGCGTTTTAGGCCTGCAAAATATTTTTGGGCTTGAATTGGGCGTGCTTTAGGCCTGCAAAATATTTTTGGGCTTGAATTGGGCGTGCTTTAGGCCTGGAAAATGTTTTTGGGCTTCAATTGGGCTCCTTAAAAATTTAGGCCTGTATTGGGCTTGTTTTGGGCGCTGAAAATTTCTCTAAGTCAAGATTGGACTTCAATTGGGCCTGTATTGGGCTTATTTTTCATTTTGGGCGTGTTTTGGGCTCGTTTTGGGCCTATTTATTTTTACTCGGGTACAAAACAAAATTAATGGCATTCTTCTACACAATTAATTTCTTAATTACTCTGTTCGAAAAGACACTACAAATCTTAGTGTATTATTTTAATGCATTAAAAGTGTTTTGATATGACGTCACCCATTTAATTAGCATTGTGTCGTTTTTATAACACTTGAAAACGTTTCAAAAACGACACAATGTTCATCAAATGAGTGACATCATATTAAAACACCTGTAATGTATAAAATAAAACATTAATATTTGCAGTGGACTCATTACGGAGATATTTGGAGGATGTTTTTCGTCATAATTGTACGGCAAGTTCACTTTTCCATTAACAAAGGATTAAACTTTCTACACAGATATCACGAAAAATCCTATTCAGCCCTAAAGAGGACAATTAGACTTCTTTTTAGTGGTTTGAGCTCGACTACTTTCCCTCCCTAGGTGTGAAATGTACTATTTTTGATAGATATTTGAAAAAAATTTCGAAGGCATACGGTTATATGAAAAATCAGCCTTTAAAAATATTTTTACTTTTTTATAAGTTTTTTACTAATAGTGAACGTTTAGTGAACAATTGGGGTACGAATAAAAAATTTTACAAAAATCCAAATATTTCCATAAAGTACCTCCAGTCTTGGAAGGGGAACATTCGGTGCAGTTTTTAGGAACGATATTTTTTGAGTCGGAATATGAAATTAGTGGTAGGAATAATCTTCAATATCGTTTATACCATCGAAACATTTTGATTGATTAAAAAAGGAAGTCAAAAATATCTTGATATAAATCTATTGAATGTAGCAATCATTCAAAATTTTTCTGTAAACTCCATTTTCTGTTTAACCAGCTCGAAATAACTTTAAAATCGAACGATTGAAATTTCATAAAATGAAATCGTTCAATTTGCACTTTAGATATTGTCGATAAAACTTTAATGACGTATAAAAAGAATTCTATTTCAACTATATTAGAAAGACGATTCGATTAACTACTTCTTTAAAATTGATTTATTTAACGATTGACGATGAATTCACAAACCAATAACTTATTGTATCAATCGTTCAAACGCGACATCTCTCACTGACTTCACATTTAATCAAACGTTCTTGAAAACTCGTTTTTAAGAATCAGTAAATTATCATTAAGTAAAATAATGCAAAGTACATGAATATTTTATTCAGAAATGTTATAACTCATCGGAGAATGAAGGAAATGCTTCTCGTCAGATAGAAAAAATATTAAATTCCTGATAAATAGAGCTCTGAATCTGAAATTTAACGGTCTGATTAATAGCATTGTCTCACAAATTGTAATCTCATCTAACAGTATTATTCTTATCGCTACTTTCAGATTTAATTTTGCTTCGTAAAACAGAGCTCGAGTTCTCACTTGTATGTCAATCCTCTGCGAGAAATGACGACTCAACTACAGGTCAAAGGAATGTAAATTAGAGAGAAAAGGATTAATGAGAATTAACGTTAATTGGTTGTCTGACGAGGGATTGGTGAGTGGTGAGGAACGTCGAGAGTGAAAATCCGGATGCCACAATGAATGAGTAAGATCTAACGCTGACACTTATTCCAAGTCAACAGACATCCCGATTATTTAAATTGTCAGCGTTCCGACCCGCTGCAAATACGAATACCCTAATGAACTGAAATCAATTCAACATGCTTGATCTATAAATTTTATGGGTTGTTTCATAACTGGGCTACATAAAAAGCTCAATTAAATTACTTCGTAATTACCCGTCTATTTATACTGATTCCAATAATCATCTCTGATCTGTATTGTATATACATATATATACGTAGACCAATTTGTTAAGAGAAGATTCTTTACATAAAAATACTACTCGCATTTGTGTCAAAAATACCTCCTCAAGTATTTCGTGAATCTTTTTAAGTAGTCTCTATTTGTGCTAATTTGAGCAATTTCGCATCAAACCAGTTGAATGGCATACAATTTTCTATACTTATGCTGGCCTTGCATTTTTTTCTTTATCTCCAATTATTGAATTGAGCTTTTTAATTTTAAATATTTTATGATCGAAGTCTTCATCATATTTACAAGTTAAAGGTTTGGCTATTTTTATAATTAGACTACATATCTTATTTTTTTGTAGCCTAGAAAAAGGATTTTTTTGTGGAAAAATCTGAAATGCAACTCTCAACTTGTTAGTTTAGATTGAGCGGAAGTAAAATTTGATTGCTGAGAATATATACACATCTACATATCCAACCCAGATGTTCTAGAGTTTCATGAATGTTTACAAAAGTTCAAGATGCATACATTTGGATATCTATT